TGCCCCCATTGCTTTGCTCTAGAAATTTCGGGATCCTTCACACAATCAACGGGGCAAGCACAGTCACAAGGAAGCAGGCTGGGAACATCCATGCAGCATGACTGCAGATTGCTGGTGGCCGCAATGTTCTGGATAACCCACTGCCCACACGGAACATCACCCTCGTTTTTCCTGGGCCATCCAAAATCAGTTATTGGCAAGGGATGGACTAAGACTAAGGAGATCAGACATCTGACCGAATGTTCAGAGGGAGCCAATTTCCAACCTCAATTTTGCATGTGAAACTTCTTCGGCTGGCCAGCACGAACAGACACGATGAAGATGTCACTTACCTTACTTCGACTTGGTTCTGTGCTAATACTTTCGATTCTCTGCTTACACCCTATCAATTCATTTCTCCAAACTCTGATTTTCCAGCAAAGTCTTGTGTACAGCAGCTTGGAGCGCAGTATGTGGATACGCTTAGCCTCCGGAGAGGAGTGGGGCTTGCAGGCGTGGGAGCAACCGGGAAGCCACGGGATATCCTTAAACTGATAAGAGTATATGTCCGCGTGCATGTCATGCTACTGCAAAGAGCGTCTCTTTATTAAGGCACTGAGCTTCTCACCTGTCTAATCGCTTTGGGCTGGGTTCCGCCAGGCATAATCGGCCTGAAGGATCCATTGAAGATCGGGCGACAAAGTATGCGGCAATGTAATGTATGCGTCATTCCTACCCTATTTATTTGATCAGAACCAGAGCCAGGCGAGACACTGAGACTGCCCTCCCCTCCCCCACAGTCTCACTGGCTTTGCAATCTGGTGTTATTTCTATCTCTAGATACCGGCTGCTAGTTAGGCCAAGGCACGATGCAGCAATGTGCTGCAAACAGGCCAGGATCGGCTGAGGAGGAAAACCCTGCGGTTGTATCCTGAAACAAACACCGGCAGATGACGGAAAACATAAAAGCAGCACAACTTTCAGAACTCGCCTCCGGGCAGGGTATGCAAACTCAACTGGTGGGAGAAAGGCCCCCAGACATGCTGGCATACCAGGAATATACGTGGGAGATTGGAGACGACGGCAGAGAGCCAGAGAGAGAACAGACGCATGAGCAATCTCACAGCATGAGAAAGTTCGCAAGAGAAACGGATACGTCGTGGGGACCTTGGACGCTGCTTTGTCGAGGGTCATGCGTGTGCAATGGCTTGTGTGGTGGGGGCTGCGCGAATTGGCCTGAAGTGCATGAAAGCGCTTGAACGCGTTCTGTGTCTACGGCCTAAGAACAGCGCAGTCTCACTTTGCACCCTCACGTGGGGCCAAGTCGTGCCTGCGACGCTTTTGCACTCTCTGTACATCTTCACCGTGACAACTTCGCCATAAGCGCGAGAACACCTCGCCCAACACACTAACCAAGCTTCGACGCGCGACGGCAGCAATTCAGGTCATCAGCCATCAGCTGCTGGCCTGCGAACAAATCCATCCTCTGTTAGGCTGATACTCAAAACTTAGGCCGTCAACCCTTACCGTTCCTCAGTTTCACCAGCAGGGCTCCGTCCCTGGGCCTCTAATCAATCTCGATCTTACATCGCAGGTGGCTCGACAAATTGCTGAACAAGCAGCAACCAAGGAGAAAGGGGAGGGCAATGGGCCACCTAGGTGATTGGTTTTAATGTCATGTATCTGTCAACAGTTGCCGAGTATTCGAAGGTTCAAGCTCAGTGAGCGGCGGCATGGGAATGTTGGGCATGCTGGGTTACAGGTGCATTGGAAGATGGACATCGACCATTTGCCACTGAAGTCTTCCAGCTGAAGCATTGCATTCTAAGAGGTCTAACAGTGGCCAGCAGGAGCCAACGGCATCATCGCTGCCCAGTTTGCTCGGGCCTTGGAGGACGATCAGGCAAGTGAGTGGAGATTTGCAAGTGTCTTACGAATACACGTCGTCGACTTGCTGCTCCCCACTAATAAGGCAGACAGCCTATCGCAGGTGTTAGCGGAACGCGACTGCTGATCTTGTGAGTCATGGCTCCTGTTGATCCATATTAACAACTGTGCTGTACTGGCTAAAACAAAAACACACAGTGCCAGACGAGCACCTCACCCTTGCCTAGGGTCTTGAGCCAAGCCGTCCGGATTTATGCGGTCCACTTCAGGAAGCGTCCACAAGCTACCAGGCCACAATGTGGCCATGGCTCTGCTTCGCAAAAACGTGCAACTTGAGCACAGCCATACGGACATCAGCTATAACCGCCTGCGCAGGGGTGCGCAAAAAAAGACATAGGGCCAGGGCTTCCAAGAAAAGATGTGAATGAGAACGCCGTGAGGGGATCACAAAACTCTTTTTTTTCCATGCGGCTCTGTTGTTCCCCTGCAGATGTTGGAGTCAGCGCCCCGCCCCCCCAGCTGCAAGATTTCGCCTGCATTTCAGTCTCACCGAGAGCGGCCAGGGGATGTAAATCAAGCGGCTAGCGGCCACGTCCTTTTACTGATTCCTGCGAGCAGTCAAGCTGCAATGGCTGACCAACTGCCTCAAGCTCACTCCCACAGACCCGCAAGAAGACCGGCATTAGGTGCTCTACCGCGACCAACGCACTTCTGGCCAAGACTGAATGGCAAATGCAAGGGGACGTTTCATGAAGGGAAAGGCAAACTTTCTTTCGGTGCAGCAGGGTAGAGGTCCTTTCCCAGATGTTCCAAAAACGTCAGCGCAGCCTTCCAGCCCATGGCTTTACGAAAGAGCGTTCGCACTGAGTCACAGGTAGGTCTTGCAGGCCAAACCAACTCTGGGCCGCGGTGTACAACAAACCCTGAGAGATCCTGGCGACTGTGTGGTGAAGGCATGTGAAGGCGGAGGAACTTCTCAGCCGGGCTGCCGTAAAGCAGAGCGTAGCAAGACCACATATGCGTGAGGGACTGCCCTCTACAGATGCAACGACAGCCACCACAACACTCAAACGTCCACATTCCACTATTGTGGATGTGGTTATGCTGGAGGAAGCCCATGACTTGAGCCGAGCGCGGCAGACGCTTGTGTCGCAAAGGGTCTCAGGGGCCCAGTCTCCATCCATAGGGCCTGCCTGATGCGGAAGGACATGCTGATAATATTCTTGCTCATGCAAGATCTGAGGGTGACCCAGGATATCGGCTGAGCTGCAATGGGAAATATCATCGACGTGCCTTTGGGGTCATATCGCACTCCTGCATAGATCAGACTAACAGAGTGGAGTGGAGTGTCACTGTCGATGGCAGAACGGTTAGAATTGGCAAAGCAACAGCGTTGCTGAGCTAGGAGCGGATGCGCCCACAGGATGCTGCTCTGCGACATCAAGTATTATCACTGCTCCCAGGTTGCAAGGAAATACCGAGAGAAATCTCAGCTTCCTGACTTGAAGAGTTCGCCCTGGAACCATCCATTTGAACAGTAGCCATATCACCGTGGTGATGGATGCTCGACTCCCTCACCACAAAAACGAACGCACTTTAAGAGGAGGGGAACAAAAAAGAAGGGACGGCTCTTTCTTATTCATCCCTTTGCTCTCAAAAAAGGCCAACAAGGCGGCTGGTTGTCAAGCGCAGCTGAAAAACCTGGAAATTTAAGATGATGCAATAACAAATATTCTCCTTTCTTCAAGTGCCATGAATCTCCGATTTGCAACAGGGGACGGTCTCAGCGTTGCTGCACAAACTTGGCCGACCGTGTGTAATGGGCAAACTTCATAAGGACCGAACCCATTAATAAACACTGGCAGGCTCCGTCTCCAAGGGCGACTGAATAGGACATCCTTGCATGTTACGGGCCGCATCTCCAGCCGATGAAACTTGTCACACGCAAGTCAAGGGGTCTGTTCTGAACACGTGGGGCCTTGGCGTCGATCCGGCAAATGCCACCGTCCAACAAAGGATGAAAACCGTCGGGGCCTGCTTCTGCGGGAAAGTAGAGCCTACGCACGGATTTTTTCACGGGGCTGCAGGTTTTTGAGCGTTTTAAAAACCAACTCCACAAAGGTTGGTCGCCTGCCCAAGTCTTTTGTTCAGGCGCCACGTTGGCCTGCCAAGAGTTCGCGTCGATCTGCTTGCGCCTTGGAAGCTGAGAGGCTTAGAGGCTTAGAGGAGGCAAGCTTCACTGCACAGTATTGTACACGGAGAGATGCCTCGGTACCGGAAAGGTCACAATAGCTGTGGACAGGGCCAGCCACAAGTTGGCAAGCAACACAGAAGAAGACAAACAACGTGTAGTTCCGGCTTCTCGGCGGACTCGGGCGAGCTGAAAAATTATGGTTGGCTTAAAACCGAACACCCCACAGCCCGACGGGGTAGACACAAAATCCGATTGTCATTTTCATCTGTTTCTTCCTGAAATTCTAGAGTGTACTATTGTTTAGATGGGGCCCATATAAGGATATATATATCATATATATATACAATACGTTTGAGTGGTATATGTGTACACATAATAAGATATAACACATATAAGAGAAAACAGCAAAGACGACACATCACACACGCCATTTGAAGTAGATCTGCGGAGATCCGCGCCATTGGAACAAGAGAGAACAACGCGAGCAAGATGTACAAGAACAACTCGACACAGCTGCCGGCGATGCTACGGGTAGCTGCACAATAACGAGCGGAGATCGACAAGGCACGGGTCTGAAGGTCCTTGGGGGATGCAAACAAGAATGTGTGTGCGCGTGAGAAGCTGCCATCTCTAGTTTGCTGAATGTTTTGCTGACTGAATCGGAGACCCGAAAAGAGCGAGTTCAACAGTGATAACTTCGACAGACAGGCCCGGCTGGACGGGGGGGAAAACATTCAGCTTACAAAAAGAAGCCCCGACGATGGCGTGGAAGAATGTTGCAGATCTCGTTCGTGCGGCACAAGCTTGCCCATGTTTTTTGCCATGCAGAAAGCACTGCTCCTGCTATATTGCAGCTCTCCAACCATCTCACCTGCGTAGCTGAGCTTCATCGTCAGCAAACAAGTTAGCGGCCTGTTAACCAGGCCCATGCCTGCAAGCCTCAGCCCGACTTTTTGGACCAGCCGTCGGATGCATCTTTCTCTGGCGCTCCTGTCTTGGGCATGCACGAGCCGTGGCAAGGATGAAGCGGCGCAAGCCATCCAAGGCAATGTTCCGTCAAAGTCCTGGTCCTGGGATCTCCCCATCGAGATTGCTCAACTCGATCAGCGTCAGACGCAAGCAGCCCCCAGTGTCCGCGACGTCCACCTGCACGATCATGTCCTCAGGAAGCTGCAAGCTAATAGCTATAAGATTAGCCCCAAACTTCAGACTTGAAGCCATTGTCAAACAAGTCTCGCTGTGTGTGAGAAGCTTGCTACAGTTGGAATCTCATCTTTGGGGAACATGGCCGTATATGGCCATGCCACAGTTCATGGGGAGATGCGGAAAGCCCATGCTGTCAGGGACGGAGATGCAGCTGAGCAGCGAAGACTCGCTCGTGCAGCCTTGCTCGTTTTGCGTCGGCTGCTGCAAAGAGGTTGTCAGGTGCTAGAAGCAAAGCTAGACAGTTGCCTTTCATGAGGTCCATACCTCATTTCCCGACACTGTTTGACATGTTTCAACATTCAGGTGCAGAGCACAGCGGCTACAAATAGTGCAGCCAGGATACGCGAATCATCCGGGCACACCTGCCGAAGAGGACGGCTAGGAGCGCATAGTCTTCTGCACAATGCCTGCCACTTCTTATGCCATGTGCTGCAGCACGTCCTTGCAAACTCTTTGCGCCAGCAGCCTTAAATATGACCCGAAAGAATCACTGCTTAACACAAAACCTTCAAGAAATGAAGGAGTTGCAGTGCGGCAGCTTTCAGAACTGTCCAAAAGCACTGCCGGACTCTAGGCTCAGGACCTGCATGGCAGCGAAGTAATGATTTGGAAGGCCTCAGCAATCAACACAACAGGAATGTTCACGAATTCTGTGCAAATCCAGGCAGGCCACGCTCATGCCAGATTTCTGTACAGATTTCGGCTGCGCGGTTGCGCGTTGCCAGCACAGCAAAGAGCGCCAAATCCGCCGCCTGCACAAACCCGTGTCTTGGCATGCAGGTACACGCCACATGTGTTCGTTTTCGAGGGGCTTTTTCTGGGTTTAGAAACGTGCTTGAGACCGCAATCAAACGCTGCCAGGTGCTGTGCGAAGGTTTGTCAGGGCGTTTTCAGGGGGACATTCTTTGCAAATAAAGATTTGAAGCGCAATGGCTTTAAGCGGGTGGAGTTTCTTTGTTCTTTTTTGGGAGGTCTTTTCTTTTCATCTTCTTGGTTGTCCTAGGCCCCTGTACTCTCATAGGTTTCATACTACTTTTCGTAGGATCCCTACTAATCTTGCTCGAATCCTTCTTAATGTTGGCTCTGTTTCTTTGGTTTCCGTGAGAAAAACCTTTAGTCCCTTCAAATTTCAAGAGGACCCTGTATATTTTCATAGGGTTCATACTACTTTTCATATAATGACTTGTGAATTTTAGATAATTTTAGCAAGATGCCCCCCCCGCCCCCCCTCCCCATATGATGTTTCCCCAAAAGCCATCATGCGAGCATTGTGTTTGCAAATGGGGGGGCTGTGACCCCCAAACTCCTCCGCCAGAATTTGGAAGGATTCGAGCAGCATTAATCGACGGCTTACAAAAACCAACAAGTCATCATGTGAAAAACGGTTTGAATCCTCTGAAGATATTCAGGATCCAATTAAAATGTCAAGGGGCTAGAGGTTTTACTTACGACGAACCAAGGAAACAGAGCAGAATTAAGAAGGATTCACAGAACTAATTCACGTCTTTCTGAAATTAATTAGGAATCCTTCTGAAAAGTAGTATGACTCGTATGGAATGTGGGGGATCCTATGAAACCAAGGAAACAAACCCAAACATAACAAAGCTTCGAGCAGAATTACTCGAGGAAGGGCTTTGCAAACACAATGCCAAAAAAAACACATTCAGGGTGGGTTTTACAGCAAAGAGCAGGAAGTAGTTGCAGACAGTCTAGGAAAACAGCTACTAGTGCCTGAGTAAGTCGTAGTACAGACATTTTTAGGCAGAAACAAGTGAAGTGCCAAGCATGACTGGGATCCAAGATACAAGATCATAGATGTTTAGCAGACCTTCTGAAAGACGTGTGGACCAAGATTGAACACAGTGAGCAAATTATCTGGCCCGGGATCCAAGATCCCAGAGTGTCAGGCGGTCTTGTGGAGAGACTTGCACCCCACAGCCACAGGCCACAGTGGGAAGATTCTCTCGGCCAGGCCCCCTGACAAAAAATCAAGAAATCCTCCGATGGGGACGCTGCTTGCGATGCTTCAGATGTTGATCGCCCTTGCGAAGGAAAGCATGATGGGAGACACCGCCTTGGAAAGCCGGGCTTGCGATTTGACCATTGGGAAGGCAACTCCCACCAGAAATCTTAGGACCAGGGCTTGTAACTTTACATATTGGAAGGCAAGCTTCCGCCAAACATCTTAGGGACCAGGGTTTGCGATTTGACATTTTGGAGAATAACTTTCGCCAAAAAGATCTTAGGGACTTGGACGTGCAGTTCGATGATCTTTTTGCCAAAGTTCTTAAGGACTAGGGCTTGCGATTTGGTCCTACCGTTCATGCTAACATCCTCTTAAAAAGCTTGTGGTGCTAGAAGGAGAGTACCATCTTGAGCGCATCCCGATGGCAAGGTAGTGACAGCATGTATTGTTTTGACTGATTCTGCTTTGGGCACGCATAGGCGAACCCCGCGCCGCAGAGATGCCTTGAATGTAGTATTGACGGCTCGAGGACTTATCTTGACATCTGCACATGTGCTGCATGTTGATGAGCCTATGCCTCTCACCAGTCACAGATTCACATCACCAACCATGAAAATGTACTCGACAACCACAGACGAGGCAGGGGCAGCACGGGATCCCATAAAACTAAGACGTACCAACAAGCAAAGCGCACATTTAGCCCAGACGCACCAATGAACAAAATGACTACACATTGTGCCCTGACTCACCAAGAAGCGAAACAACCTCCAAGAAGCAAAACGGCCATACGTTGAGCTTGCGGCTTTGATGTACCAATAATCCAATCAAACAGGCATATAGATTGCAAGCCACTTCACACCAAGTGATGGTTTGTACATGTGTGTATATATATACATATATGTGTACATACAGGGCGCTCGGGGAGGGGGTGGAGGGGTCGAATCGACCTGAAGCCGAAGCCGAATTAGTGAAGCTGCATTGCCGTAAGTGACGCCGCATTGTGACGCGCGTTGTCTGACGCAGCGTTGCGGCGTGACGCCGAATAGTGAAGCCAAACCCCCTGATGCCTAATTGGTTCCTGACGCTGCCCGCATTGACGCCAACAGGATGGCTTGGAGGAGCACTTTGGGACTTTTACATACCTTTAGTAGACGAGCAGCTTTCGGAGCCTTTTGGGTTGAATTTGTGCCCCAGCTACCACCCCAGCTTGCCAAGAGTCGGCGGTCACTCGGGCACTAATTCTTCCCACAAGAGAGCCCTCAATGAGCGTATTACAGTATCTGATTATTCCACATCTCACGACCCACGTGCTCGCTTGTAGGACTTGCTCAGTGTCGCTTCAGTTTGTTCACAATTGACCGCGCATCTTGGGAAGCATGGGGGGCAGCTTTTGGACTCTGTGGTTGAATTCGTGCCAGCCTATAATTCGGCGGTGCGATGCGTCTTCGCCTCCTCGTTCGGCTTCGCAATGCGTCTTCGCCTCCCAATTTGGCTTCACAATGTGTCTCTGCGCCTCCGGCCCCTAATTCGGCCGCCGAATGCGGCTTCGCATGCGTCTTTGCCTCCTAATTCGGCTTCGCCGACTGGGCCCTTAAAGCACTAATTCGGCTTCGCAAAGCGGCTTCGGCTTCAGGTCGATTCAACCCCTCCCCCCCCAGCCACAGAGTGTATATACACATTTTTTTATATATGAAGGTTCCGTGAAGCTGAATCATGATTGATTGAATCAAATGGATGTATGAAAAAGGCATGAATGGTAGCGGCGATCTGCGTTCCGAGCCATCGGTTTTGGACAGGAATCAACATGTACTGCAAAGGCTGCACACAACATTAACATTTGAACAAAGAACTTGGCTCTTAGATGTCAACAAACCTATCGGCTTTGCACCATTATTTTGAAATGCTGAAACAATTACTTTGACTTTTGCTCTATTAACGACACATAACGACAGCAGTCATCAATGCAGAACTAAACTACGAATGTATCCCAAATCGTCACCCAAAGACGACAAGGGTTTAGACGCCAAAGACTTCCTTGCTAGCCGTTTTGGATGATTTCAGTCCCCCCAAATTCCCGAAAAATCGGATTCCCCGCGGGGTCGCCCTCCCAAGACGTTTCTGGCCCCAAAGTGCCCAAAACAGGATCCTCCTTCGGTTCGGTTCGTTCCCGAACCTAACCGAACCTTGTCTTTACTCTGGGTTGCTACCGGCAGGAGAAATACATCATGATGGCAGCGGCACACGGAAGCAACCAAACGAAGCACAGTGAACATGCATGTGGCCTCATCAGACGCCCAAGACCCTGTTCGAAAATCACGGTCCAAAGCGCTCAAGTACTTTCCAACCTGCAAGCATTCATCAGGTGTTGCCACTGGCTCAGACAAAACCATTCAAGCTCAGCCACAGTTGGATCCGCAAGAAGTTGGCACGAAGTCAACTCGACACGGAAGCCATGAAGTGCATGAGCAGCACGTGAATAGGCATCCTCGGGCACTGGCCACAAAATGCTCGTGCTATCTGCCTGTCATGACCTGCATCGATGCCGAAACAGCCGAGCATCCCAGCTGGCCTTCCTCGGCAGCCAAAATTCGCAAAGAATTTGTCGTGTACATTCGTGTACATTCTTCGCGCTGAGATATGGGCATGCCAAAGCGAGCACTAGATGTTGCTATGGCGGGTCACGCACAGCTTCAAGTGCTGCTGCGCCACTTCTCGCCCAAGTGCCAAAGAGCAGCTCCGCAATTAGCCCATGCCTGCCCGACACCTACCTGGTTTTGCCACTACACATGCATTTGTCGCCTCAATGCAGTGCCAGCAGTTCAGAAGGCAAACTGTCATCGGGGATCCTTCCAGTCACGGCAGTCAGACTCGCAATTTGGAGCTTGCTTGATCAGCTCTTCGTACCTTACTGTGCTGTCTGCAGCGCGCTGGGGGAAATAACCAAGCGGTTTACACAGATCCAGGAAAAGCTGCACAACAATATCGAGGTGCCATGGCAGCCTTCTCACCCCTGTTTCCTCCAGGATGCGGCATTCAACTGATTCATCCAGAAGGTCTGCGGCAACCGAGCCCTCAGATGAGAAGGACGTGCAGCAGCATGCAACCTGGAATCGACAGCAGGTCAGCATATGTCAGCGCACATGGCCTCAACAGAGAGATTCCCAATTTCTGTTGCAAGCGCGTCCGCCGAGCACGCTCGCTTTCTCGTGCCTGTTCAGACATTCAGAAAGGGTCCCGAAGACCAGACTCATGTAGTGTAGCAATTTAGCAGCCACCGACAATCCCAGCTGATTTCAGCTTCCTGCCTCTCACCTCTTCATGCGAGTCTGCCGCTGCAACAGGTGAAGGCAGCATCACCAGTACTGGTCGAAGCAGTTCTGCAAGACCCACATGTTCAATTCTGTCGCCATGGTAGAAGCCACACGGAGCGTCAAGTGGCTGGAACAATGCTCCATGGTGCTCTTTCTACCATCTGCATGGGACTATCTTGGCTGCAAGATCCAGCATTGTGACCAAATTGCCTGGAAACCTGATGGTGTGCACCGATCACCACTGATCTTAAACATACCTGGGCAATCCTCGGCAACCCTGCACGCATCTCAAGATGCTTTAAAACAGGCACTCAAACAAGCACTCAAAGCTGCAGCTTCCGATTCGTCCGATTTTAGACATGCTCTCCGTCGGCGTGTGCTAAGTTCGCTAGCTTGCTCTCATCACCGCTCTGGCGATTCCGGCTTCGCGATCGCTCTCTGGAGTTGCCGTCTTTGGTAGACTGCATTTGCTGTGACTGTGGCTGCTGCCCTGGGCAGGGGGATGTAGCGTTGGGCGCTGGAGCAAATGGAAGCAAACCTGGTGCCTGCCAGCCCGTTTGGTGGGACATCGGGTGCATCGTTTGCATCTGTTGGGGTGCTCCGCTTTGCACAGGAACGCCTGCTTGGACCGGCAAGTTTCCAAAATTCCATACCTGCAACGGTTCAGCAGGAGGCCCCTGTGAGAAACTAGCTGTTGGCTGCAACTGCTGCATCTGAAGCTGCTGCACTTGCTGATGCTGCACTTGCTGATGCTGCACTTGCTGCTGCTGCATTTGCTGCTGCTGCATTTGCTGCTGCTGCATTTGCTGCTGCTGCTGCTGCTGCTGCTGCTGCTGCTGCTGCTGCTGCTGCTGCTGCTGCTGCTGCTGCTGCTGCTGCTGCTGCTGCATTTGCTGCAATTGCTGCTGCTGCATTTGCCGCTGTTGCATTTGCTGTTGCAGAGGTTGCTGCATTTGTTGCTGCATTTGTTGCTGCAGAGGTTGCTGCATTTGTTGCTGCTGCATTTGGTGCATTTGCTGCATTTGCTGCTGCAAAGCAGGAGACATTTGACCCATGTTGTTCAGCATCTGGCTGGGGGGCATCTGATTCGACAACTGGCCTTGGCACCCTGGCATAACTGTAGTAACTGGCATGTTTGGCATGTTGCCAGTGTTGCCAGTGTTGCCAATGTGGCTAGTGGGCCCCTGGCTGCTCCAGCCTTGCCCTAGCCACTGGTCAGGTTGCATCGTGCTCGCAAAGGCTTGTTGCTGCACTGGCACTTGGCTGACTGGGCTCATTTGGCTTTGGTTTAAGGGGTGCATGGCCTGATGGTTGGGCGGAGGCGGTGGGGGTGGGAGCGCGGGTTGGGCTGCGCAGCCCCCTGACCACTGAGAAGGGGGCTCAGGAGGGAACTGCGGCGAATGAGCGCAGGGCAGTGAGGGCTGTGAGGGCTGTGCGCCAGCCAGGGAGTGGAAGTCACTTTGGCGCTGGAAAGGTTTCAGCTGAAATGGTGCATCATGAAGCCTCGGATGGAGCGTGTACTGAAAGATCCTGAAAAAGCAAAGACAAAGGCAATCATGTGTCGGACTCGGGTGCGAACTGCAAGGACTTGCCGTGGAAGGAGGGAAAGGATAATGGTACCTGCCATGGGTCAATGCAGCCACTGCAGTGCCAAAACTGGAGGTGAGAGGTGAGCTTTCGTGCGAAGCTGGGTGCCCGACCATCCCACTTCGGCGCTCAGGAGCTTTGAGGCTCTGTGCCAAGAGCGCACGGCCAGCCGTGACCAGGGACTGGAGAAGGCAGGAAGGCAGGAAGGCAGGAAGGCAAGAAGAGATGATGCTGTGGAACTGCAAGTACTCCTATCCATCCTAGGTCTTAGAAACTGAGCTTAGAGGCGCAGATTGTGGCATCATCTATCGCATTTCCCTCCACGCGCAGCCAGACCGGTGGCTTCTTCTGTGGAAGCTGCGCCCATTTGGCTTCCTAGGCTGCTCTCCTAGCTTCTCAACACGATCTGCGGCTTCTGAAGACAAACTGCCGCTCCAGTTCAGCACAGTTCAGCCAGGCGGGTGTCAATGGCCTGCACTAAGCTGTGAAAGCCATCTGGGGTGATGCGGTTGTGCGACAAGTGAAGCTCACTGGGCAAGTTGTCAGGCGGCATAGCTTCAATCCAGCCTGCGATGGCTCTCCTTAAGTAGACATATGCAGCTGAAAGTGACGGCAAAGCTCCGGAGCATCTGATGAATCTAAGTATGAACTCATGGTTGAAATGCAGCGGGGATTCGAAGCACCGTCATCTAGCCCGCAATCAAAGGCCTTGACCCGCTCGACACGAGCGCAGCTGTCCCTCAAGATCTGAAACAGCAAGTCCTTGTGTTCATGATTCAACAGCCTCATGCGAAAAGGACGGTCGGTTTCCTCATTAGTTCAGGGCCTGGCGCCTGGCCTTGCATGCCTTTCTACGCTATGTGCTGCTGCACGCCCACGGAGCAGGCCGACAACTGCCAAAGCCTTCGCTTATTCGGCTACAGATCCGCAACAGCTTGCGGCCAAGGCGAAGGATCTAGAAAGTAGCCCATACACAAAAACGCATCAAAATGCCAACTGAGGTTCCACAGTGCCCGCTGGCCTGAGACACACAAGACAGCTGCGCAAGACTTCCTCCATCATCCTTCATCACAGCAACGCGCATCTTTGCACAGCCGCTACGGGTCTCGCACATGGAGGTCTTCGCTATGTCGATTTGCCCGAAGCTAGCCACACCAGCCTCTCTGTGCAGGGAACACACAAACACCGATTAGCAAATAATAGCAAGCATTGGTAAAGAATGGCAAACTATGCATCATTATGCATCAGAGCATCCGAGAAGGAAGCCAGGGCTTCCCGGAGCTTCTTGCAGAAAATCTCTCCCTTACCCGGCTCATCCTTGAAAGCTGCCTCAGCGAAAACAAGAACTGGATTTGAAGTCGGCTGCAGCATCCTCAGAAGGCTAATTCAGGACCTGGTGGCAGTCAGATATGAACTAAACGGAGCCCCTGACTCTTTTCAGATATCCTCAACTCCTCCCAAGAGATTTCGATCTGGCAATGGATCGATTGGTTTTTCACTGTCACATGTGCTCATTCCTCAGGACCTGGGTCACGTTCGCGTTGATCTAGGGGTGTATTCTCTGCATGTACAAAATCCCATCTTGATTGGCATCGAAACCCGCAGGGCTCTTCGCACCGTGCTGGACTGCCACCAGGACGTGGCAGTATTTGCAGTGATCACGAATCACAAACTTCCAATGCTTGACGACATAAGGCTGCATCCCAGCTGCATCTCCTACAGAATCTCGTGAACCCAAGGTTCGGGATTGAGGGGATGGATTGAACGCGCTGGTTTAGAAAAGACTCCGGGATGGGACTGAGTCTAGCCTGCTCTGGACAAGGCTTTGCTTTGCTTATTTTCTGCTGCATGCCGCAGAATGTCCTCGAGATGGCAGTCCGGAGATGAAGCTCCTCGGCAGCCCATCACTTGCCAGCGATGAGGTTGAAAAGCCATAGCTGGCCATGAGGTGTGCGCGTTCGAAATTCAACCATGCAGCTAATGACGACAATGAAACAGTGTCGGCTTATGTCTACACAGAGTAGAGGAGCAGGACAGATCTGGCTGGAAGTAGAGGTGGGAAGAAGCGATACGGCATGCAACGATCTACCTGACCTGGGTCAACTTGAACCAAGGCGTGCCTTGAACAGTAATTGTGTGGGCACGCGGCGAACCCAAACCCCTCAGCAAGGCGGCAGCAACAGCCCACCTTGAAGGTTTGCTTAAGCCCAAACAAAGCTCGCCATCGTTCGTAAGCTCCATAGGCCCAGAAGCCCTTAAACCTCAAAGCCACTAGCCCGATGCCCCCCCGGTCTCTCAGCACAGCAGGAGGAGTCCACCTTCTAAAGGGCCAGCACCCAGGGCTACATGATTTCCCGTCCACCTCGTCAGACCTCTGACCGCAGGGGACGGCAAATTCCAGCTGAAAGCCACGTGTGAGTTTTGAAAGCTGTCAACATGTCAAATGGGTATTGCTTTTTGTGGTTTACGGTGGGGGGCTTGTTTGAAGTCCTGCCAGCTTGAACCACGCACCTGCGGCAAGCAAACTGGTCCAGTCAGCATGCTCCGAACGCTCGCAGCTACACGACTCATACGGTTCTGCTCGGGACGCTACAAGATCGTGAATGTTTTTCACAAGGCTACACTTACAGCCCAGACCCTCAATCCTTTTGGAGTTGTGCGAGCGCAGGCTTGTCGTCACTAATTGATAGTAACTCAGAAGCCGCAAAACTAGAAGCTTGACGAATTGCAGGACCACATCTTCTGCGTTGTCTACGCATCGTCGAAATCGAAACGAGGCGTGAGCGCACTCAACAGGAAACTTGCGCGGCTCAGCCTGCAAAGTCCCATGTGGGGACTCGCAATAACTCACAATCCCAGCCTCAGGCACAGTCAGCTGCCCTCCCCCCAGCGTGTTGCAAGCATTTTGCAGTCACGCACAACTCACAAACTAGACCCACACAGGCTCTGGCGTCTCTGGGTTGAATGCCAATTTCCGACTGCACAAAGATGTTCAGATGTTCATGCAGCGTCATCAGACATGCAAATTATTGAGAGCAGGCTGTGGCAGGGGCTTTTTCCACAAGGCAGCATCCACGCCGCACACGTCATGTGGCAAAGATGTCACTGAGTGTGGTGTGGCAGCACAACTAAGATGCTCTTTTCCAGAGCAAGGAAGGCAATAAAGGATGCATAAGTTCTCCGCTTGCAGGCATTTCGGTCTGGACATGCAATTGCAGCAATAAATGCACCGGTCCCGTTCATGCCGCTTGCAACTGTCATCGGCCACTTCTTGCAAAGATTTGCAAAGTCACACCAGAAACCATCCGCTTTGAAAGACCAAGTACAAGATTGCAAGAAACCACCCTTCATGAATCACCGTTCAGACCGGGTCGGCGAAGGACAGTCTCATCAGCCATAGGGTCTGTCAATGTCTGTCACGCCTGGGCTGCAGTCATGGGCAATGTGGGCAAATGAGGGCACACCGTGGCCATGATGAGAACTCTAGGCGTCTGATTTCTCTACGCTTGTTTCGACTCGCGCATGGCTATATGAGGACGGGTCTTGCGCGCAGGCCGGTACCCTGCAAAGCATTTGTAGCTCGTTTGCAAGGCTCGTCACGACTACCAACCTGCCCGCCTGTACACCTCCACGCCGGACCGGCACCCATGAGTGCGAAAACGACTAGCTTGCCAGGCGCAGGGTATGGCATTGAGAGCGACTTCTGGAATTCCAGAGTTAGCTCCCTGCTACACGAAACCTAGAAAGTGGAGGCGCTGCCTCTTGCATCGTATGCTCTCCGTCTGGCTCAGCATCTCGTCTGCAAAGCCTGCGCACTGGACCGTACAGCCAGGAAAGAAGTTCTTCCTCCGTGAGTGCTTTCCACACCCGCTCAATTAAGACACTGCCTGCCTGTGTCACAGAGAGGTACTGGAACAAAATTGTGCCAGGCATTGGGTTACCCAGTGCCGTCAAGCAGTAAGCATGCCTTGCGTTCATGTTCATCTGTGCCACAGCTCTACTTAGCAGCATCACTGCGAGGAGAGCCATCTGCAAGAACCAGAAGACAGACAGAGAGACAAACAGACAGGCACACACACTCACAAAACACAAAACACACACACACACACACACACACACACACACACACACACACACACAAAGCGTGCGCGCACGCACATGGACACTTATGACAAGGTTGTGCAGCTGCAAGCGTCTGGCAGGTTGACAAGGAAACCTGCGCCAGCTTATCATGAGCATCTGTGGCCGTGACCTCAACATACACCGTTCTTGCCCTTAGCATCTAAAATCAATCCCGTAGCTGCCGCGATCGAAATCCAGCACATTCTTGGAGATTGGACGAGGTCAGTATGCTTCAAGGTGCACAACTTTGACTCTGACATTCTCTGACAACTGCCGCGGAACGTGGATAAACTGCAGCGTGATGTGGCAGTGGCAGCGGCAGTTGCATATGACGAAACGCTTGTGCCATGGCTGAAAGGCTGCCAAGGCACGAGTTGGGCAAAGCGATGCAAAGCGTCTGTGAAAAGGCAACACACGTTCGAACAGGTCGAGTAAGCAAAACGCAATGATGCGGCACAAGTGATGCCAAAAGAACTGTTTCTGATGACGACGAGATAAACCACACCAACTCCACAGATGCTTTGGCGAAAACGAGGGTCGCCGTCTGCTAATGCAGGCGACACAGACGACCCGTCGGGAAAGCAAATGAAAGAAACACAAAGCGCACAACCAGGCTATGTGGAACCCCTGCAACTGCAGGATGCAGGATACTGAGGCTGGCTGGCTGGAAGGCCAAGGTGCAGACCACGAGTAAAGCCACAATTGATTGCCACTGAGTTCGGCCGCAAGCATCCATGAATTCCTTCACAGCACTCGATAGAAGTCGTCACTTTGATCACTTTGCACGTCCTGGTGGTATCAGGACAAATAATTTGCAATCCAAAGTTCCCAACTCTTTGGAGTCGATGAAGGGACCTCGGCATTGCATCAAGCACTGCAGTGGTCACCAAATACTTGGGCCACGTTGTGCCACGCCACCTCCGAGGCCAGAGTTGTGAGGGACTGAGTCGTCGAGGCAGCGCTTGAAGCGCTCGACGTGGTAGAGCCTTCACCTGGGAGTGGCTACGTGATGCTAGGTCTGATGTGAAATGCATGCCCCAGGGCCTGATCCGTCAGTCGTTGTGGTCGTCGGGCCCGACTGGTCTTGCCAACTGGAGGTCGAAAAACCTGCCACTTCTTTATGCCACGGTACTGAACCTTTGTTCCTGAACCCTCAAGCATGCCCTCAGAAGCTTGCAAGTCAAGCAGCCTGGAATCCAGGTGCTTACAATGTCGACTGGGCCATTCCCAGGGACGGAATGGCCTTCTGCCATTGCAGCACCACCCTTTACACCAATCAGTGCATATGAGCCACGGTATGCCAGGTTCCTGATTTCGGTGGCGCCCAGGCTCTCGATGGCCACTTTGGCCTCTTCAGTAAGATTGTCTGTCGCATCATCCATAGAGGCCACCATGACCATCGTGCCTTGGGGTAGGTCTTGCAAGTACTTTGCCAACGGATCGGAGCCTAGACCCTGGTAGCCAGTGTCGAAGCCGAACTTCTCCTGCGCCTGCCCGTTGTCCTGCAAGGAGACTACCGTCAGCCCACGGGCAGGAACCAACGGAGCCAAGTCGATAAGAGCATCGTTGACATAGAACTCAACAAAGTTCCCATCAGCAGCCCCAGCACTGCGAACACGCAGAGAGATTGGATCGCCAACAGTCACAGCAGACAGCGAGGACGTGGTTTCAGCGCACTCAGCCTTCCATACATTTCTGCCGCTGAGCTGCACAGGGCCGTCTCCAGATGCAGAAAGCTTCTCTGCCACCGCCGACCGGCCCTTGACACCAATCAACGCGTACGACCCTCTGTAGGCAAGATCATCTATCTGCAATGCTCCGAGGCCCTTGATGGCTTCTTTGGCAGCAAGGGTCAAATTGTCTGAAGCGTCATCCATCACCGAAATCATGACACCCACGCCCTCTGGGAGGCTGTTCAGCAACGAGGCCAAAGGAGCTGAACCACTTGCCTGATAGCCCGTGTCAAAAACATGCGTTTCGGACACTCGGCCATCTTCGTCCAGCACAACAATGCTGAAGCCCCGTCCCGAAGCGAGGGCTACCTGCGTGCCATCTATGTAGAACTCTGCGAGGTTGCCGTCCAATGTGCCGGCACTCTTCACCACCAACTCAACGCATCCGTCTTGGGACGAGGACGAGCTGGTGCCCATGCTGGTTGTTGAAGAAGCCGTCGGAGCTGCGCTGGTGGTAGGTGACGAGGTGGTCGAGATAGCTGAAGTACTCGTGCTTGTCTCAGGCACTGCAGCCGCTGAAGGCGATGGCAAGACGTCGAGCGCCATGGTCCGACCATACCCTCTGGAAAACTCCCGCATCAAGTCGATGACATTGGGCACTAGACCTGCTGCTTGCCAGTCAGAGGCGAACGCCGCTACATTCGCCAACATCTGCAGTTCCAGCTTAGCGGGCGTGAGGAGGCGCAGTTCCAGCGCAGCAGGCGAGAGCAAGCGCGATGCCTCTCCTTAGCCAACGAAAAGCCCCCCCGGATACTTGCAAGTGCACTGAACTGTTGGAGCATGAGGGTCATGAGGGGACTCGGGGGACTCAGGCACACCGGATCTGATCTCCTTCGCCAGGGGGTCACCAGAAGGTCGGCCAAGCCAGGACCCACCTCAACCCGTGCCAAGGCGCCTTAAGGCCTGCCAAGGCCTCTAAACGGGTTCCCGGGACTAGGCATGGCGCGGCATTCATAGCATGACGCAGTGCATGGCGAGCGCCGCCGATGACAGCAAAACGACTGAAGGAAGTGTCAGGCGAACGGGCCCTCAGCAGGCCCTTGCGCAGCACACCGTCCGCTTCCATGCCTTCATGACATAACCTGCGTCTGGAGCAGGCAGACCAGGGGAAGCCCCTAACCGAGGACGAGCGCAGCTCACGATGTACAGCACCCGACAAGACATAACCAGGGCGATGTTGCGAAATGTTGTGAACACGTCCTGTTAGCAGACCGGGATCTCAGAGCCAGATTTGCCTCGGACCTGGGCCCTGGAATGCAGGACCAGGCCCGCTTGCATAGGGGCCGAGAGCCCCATCCAAAAGGCGTGGAGCTGTCGGGGCAAGTTCTGCAGACTGGGAGGTCATGGGACTATGGTATCTTGTGGACAGCTTTCCCAAGGCTTCCAGAGCCCTCCAAAGCTTCCCAGGATCCATGAGCTCAGGGATGTATGTGCTAAAGGTCTTACGACAACGGACAAGCATCGCGAAGCGCTTAATTCGCCGAATGTTCGTTGTGGGAACACTAAGACGCTCCTGCCATGCCTGCAGCCAGGCTTCCTTTAGCTTGAGAATGGTTGCTGAGCAAGCTCTGTATGTAGCCAGTGTCGTTCGCAAGAACATGCAAGCTGCCGGCAACTTCCACGTCAGCTGTGCGAACCTGCGTTGCAAAGCCACATGCTGCTTCAGCTTCAGACTAGCAGTGACTGGCATATGGACCGGCATATGGTCATTGCAGAAACGCCATTGCAGACATGTGCAGACATTGAACCTCTGCGCGGATAGCTTCACCACCACCTGGCAGGCCAGCAGTTCATGACTGATGAACGGCTCAGAAATCGCGTGACGGCCTGAGAATGAGCAAGTTGAATTTCGGATGGTCAAGATGTCACAAATCTTGATGGCAGCCACCTTTCAGGCAAGACGATGCTATGACTGCGCGTTGCAGTCCCAACATGTTTCAACAAATGCAGCAACAATGCCTCCCATCCAGCTGTCCAGTTGAGGAGGCCGAAGTCTGCAGTGATGACATAGGCGACTTCTGCCTTGTCTTCAAGGACAGAACCAGTTTTCAAGTCGTCACAGTACCACTCAAAAAAGAGTGCGCGTCCCGTGAGAAATTTGCATCAAGCAGCAATGCTGACAT